CCGCAACTCAAGTGTATCCTGTGTCATCGTTTCGGACATTTGGCTCCTGACTGCCGCAATCCACCTAAGCAGATGCTGAAATGCAAGTTGTGCGGTAAAACGGGACATGTCACAGAAACTTGCCGAAACCAGCATGGGAACAACAAACCGAGTTCTTCGTGCGCATTTAGCGAACCTGACTTTGCCCGGGCTGGTGCTAGAAAAACAGCCAAGCGTCCAGGAGGGAAGATTCCTTGCTCAAGTCACCACGACGACAAGAACGTGCAGGGTACAATACGTTTCCTGGCCGACGGGATGCCAGTGGTCGAAGGTCTGCTGCTAGGAAGAGAGGTTCGAGTCTTACGCGATACGGGATGCAACACGGCAATCGTCCGACGGGAGCTCGTTCCTGATGTGTGCCTGACAGGCAAGAAAATCAGTGTCGTTCTCCTAGACAGGTCAACTAGCCATCTCCCGGAAGCTATTGTACAAGTCAACACGCCGTACTTCACAGGGATGCTGAAAGTGGCTTGTATGGATCAACCCCTCTATGACCTTGTGCTGGGAAATCTTCCAGGCGTCAGAGGACCATACGATCCAGATTCTGACTGGAAGCAGGCGACTCATACCCAGGTGGATGAGTTACCTGCGCAAGCACACCCGACCAAGTCACCTGTCACCTCAAGATCTGCTTCTTCAAGCGTGGCAAAAACCAAAGCCAATCAACAAGGTCAAGAAAATATCAGGCCTTTGTACGTGTCAACAACGCTCTTACCTGACGTTACCAGAGCCCAACTCGCCGAGGAACAGCGAAATGACCCGACACTCAAAGCTGTCTTTGCTAAAGTGAATAAAGAGTTCAAATCGGGAAAGGGCCACTGTTACGATTTCATCGAAGATAAAGGATTGCTTTATCGACGCTACCGCCTTGCCACTGGCAGGACGTTTAAACAGCTGGTCACTCCGAAAGCGTTCCGGGTAGGCATACTGGACATTGCTCATGGCAGTATCATGGCGGGACACCAAGGCATCAAAAGAACTACTTATCGTGTCCTAGAAGAATTTTATTGGCCTGACCTGAACGGAGACGTAAAGCGCTTTGTCAAGTCTTGCGACAAGTGCCAGAGAACTACCCCTAAAGGAAAAGTTGGAGTCGCACCACTAGGCAACATGCCTCTTATCCGGACACCTTTTGAAAAGGTCGCGGTTGATTTAATCGGCCCATTTTCACCAAGATCGGACCGTGGGAACCGATATGTTCTGACACTTATCGATTTTGCGACTCGCTACCCTGACGCTGTAGCATTGCCCGCAATCGATGCAGTTCACATTGCGGAAGCACTCATCGAGATTTTTTCCCGCATCGGCTTGCCAAAGGAAATCGTCACCGACCAAGGGGCAAGTTTTACCTCAGAATTAATGAACGAGGTTAGCAGGCTTCTCTCCGTGAAGATGCTAAAGACAACCCCATATCATGCGATGGCGAACGGTCTCGTGGAGAAATTTAATGGCACCCTGAAGACAATGCTAAAGAGAATGTGCCAAGAGAGACCTCGATCTTGGGACAGGTACCTAGCTCCGCTACTCTTTGCATATAGGGAAGTTCCACAGACAAGCCTCGGGTTCTCTCCGTTTCAGCTCATTTACGGCCGCCACGTCCGAGGACCGCTAACCGTGCTGAGAGAACTGTGGACAAATGAGGGGCTAGACGCAGAAACGCGGACGACTTACACCTACGTCTTTGATTTGCGCAATCGCCTAGAGGAGACTTGCAAGATAGCCCATGAACAGCTGGAGAAGGCTCGTGTGAAGCAGAAAACCTATTATGACAGGAAAAGTCGCCCTAGAAAATTATGCCCAGGCAACAAGGTTTTAATTCTGCTCCCGACTGACTCCAACAAGCTGTTAATGCAGTGGAAAGGGCCGTTCCAAGTCATCGAACGGAAAAATGATGTCGACTACGTCATCGATGTGTTTGGGAAAAACAAGATTTTTCATATCAACATGCTCAAAAAATACGAAGAGCGCAGTATTGCTCCAGATGGGAAAGGGCCAGGTGCTGCATCCAGTTGCTTACGCAAGTCGTAATTTATTGCCCCGAGAAACCCACTATTCAACAATAGAACGGGAATGCCTTGCACTTGTTTGGGCAGTGCAAAAATTTCATATTTACCTCTATGGCAAACCTTTTGTCATTCAGTCAGACCACCAACCATTACAGTATTTAAATTCCGCCAAACACGTGAACAACAGAGTGTTGAGGTGGAGTCTCCTTATGCAGGAGTACTCATTCACAGTTCATTACATCAAAGGTTGTGACAATGTTGGAGCCGACTACTTGAGTCGCGCATAACTGCCGTTTAGGTAGCAACGTGGTTCTTAATACTACTAGCCCTCAGTCGTGAATAGTTGACTCCTAGTTGCGACATAGCAACCCTACTTGTACGGTAGTTTTCCAACCGAACTGTAAGCAGCCTTCTGTGAACATTCTGCTACTATGTACATGCGACCCATAAGACAATGCAGTGCAGTGCAGGGACCGTGCAGTGACCGTGCAGTGCAGTGACCATTCGTTCGCCCCGCGCCCTTGTAGTAGAATAGTTGCAAACAACTTTCTCGGAAAAGGGGGTGATGTCATAATATGTGCTGCGCGGGCGCGAAACAGAAACTAAAAAAACGACAATAGTGTGCCGTGCGGTGGCGAAGAGGATGTGATGTGTGCGTATATGTGCCGGGCGGTGCCTACGAGGAAGACGACAGTTCGTGAGGCGCGGCCTCGAGCGTGGGTGACCCGTGCCTTCGGCAGTGCGCGAGGTACGTCGTTCGAGGCAGGACTACCTCGTTGGGCGTCTGGCCGATAGGTACGACCCAGGCCACGTCGCGACACTCGTACTAGCCGAGTGGACAGCTCAGCCTCCGCTAGACGACCGGTCTAGGAGAGCTGGCGCCTGGTTCCTGAACCTGTCCTTGTCCCGCTGGTCGTGGAGAGCTGGCGCCGGGTGCCTGAACCTGCCCTTGCGCTGCTGTTCCAGGAGGGCTGGCGTGGGTTTCCGAGGCGGAATACAGGTGCTCAAGGGCACAACTCCCTGCCGCCGGAACACGTGAGTCGTCGGCTCCAGTTCGTCGACAGTGGCGCTGAGCCACTGGAGTTCGACGCGGCGACCCTGCGTCTCCCGACTTCGTCACTGCAGGTGACGACGCCGCCCAACGTCGACTTCGCCACTGAATGTTGCCGACGGGGCATCAACGACGGCCCAGGCTACTACCCCGACGACCTGAACTGTAGGCCGAACGTTCTACTTATTCATTTAGTTTAGCCGCGTGTTTTTGTGTTAGGAACTTCGTAATGTGTGGGTTGTCCATGTGTGAAGGGTACAATAGAAGTTGGACGTGTGTTTGTGCACTGGCGTGCTGTCTGATTCTTTCTGGAGCGGTCCTGCCCCAATAACATCACAGAAAGCACGGACGGGCTTACGAACGCTTCGCCCCACCAATCATCATCCACTCCGTGGATATGCTGTGATTTCATTTTCTATAAGAGCCATATGCAGAAACTGAAACTAGGCTATTTCAGTGAAACGTAAAGCATGCCTAAGTATCTTCAATTTCTAGAACAGTTATAATCAAAACGGGACACTTCTTTGTTGTAACATTAGCTCGAAAATGCAGTTTCTAATCATAAATGAGTCAAGTTCTTCAACTGTTTAATCAAAGTGAGCCACATTCATTAAGCCAGCTCTGCGCCAGCTAACATAATCAAAATAACCAACATGGTCCCACCCAAAATGTTTCATTTGTGTCTTAGCTTCTTTGTAATCGTGTTTATGTTCCACAATTAGGGTTTCTAGCGCGAGTCGGCACCTATTGAAAGACATGATGTTCGGTGACAAAACTCGATTTGGTAAAGAGTAAAAGGCTGACTTGTCCACTTCTTTTTGCATCTTAGTGCTTCTTCTCGACTTTAGTGCAACAGTATCTTGTCCTCCGTTCACTCCAACACGGTATACTTGAAATAAAATAAGTATGAAATAAAGATATCGGGCGTCTATTTATTCCCTAAACAAGAAGAAGTGGTTAGCAAAGGCATGACACAAAACTAATTGAAACACATTTTAAGGCCTTCAATTGTTGCCAAAAAGAAGAAAACACTGATGACAGTCTAGAATAGTGCGCCTTTTGCCAGGAAAGACCACTCGCTTTTCAAGTCAATTGATGTCATTACGACCATGCGTCGAAGCACGGCAGCGATGGAAGGACAAGTATGATGTCAATTATGTCGTGAAATATTGCTATACCATACATTTGAACCATTTCACACTTATTTCACTGGCTAATTTATGTCCAAATGACATGTTTCAATCTATATGGGCCAAATACAAACTTCACACCACATTACCGTCGATGGTTTTGGGACGTTAAACCCAACAAATCAATCAACATTACCGTCGATATTGGGCTATGTAGATTATAGCCACATTATAAATTGTGGTATTTAGGGGAGAGGAACATATTAGCAAAAAGTTGTTTGAGCAGGCTCAACCTTGTCAGTAGAAAAAAAGTGCGTTTTTTTTCAGTCTCATTTAAAGTGTATTTGGTTCTCTTAGAAAGAAAAAACGCCTCATATAACCTCGCGCTAATGTGCTATGAAGACAAAGCGAGGCACAACCTTCGTAATACCTTGTGGTTGTTAAGACAGAAAAATGTTTTCTTCCTTAAAACAAGATCTATACTCTTTCGAAGCTTTCTTCATGTTTCGCTGACACACTATATATACTATGCAACAATATAAAAGGAATAATTTTACTTGTACTGCTACATTGCGAAAAAAATACGGGCGCACGCGTGTTTGGACTATTGGTCAGCTGCCAGCTCGTAATAAGTTCACGCGCTACGTGGCGCCATACAGGCTCATAAAAAGAGTGTACCACACTCGCTGCCATGGCTACAGGTGGCGCTGACTGACACTCCCACGTTTAAATTCACAGATAAACCCAATACCTAAAATGGCTGCGGGAATAGCCGTCGTGATAGCTCAGTGGTAGAGCATCGAACGCGCAATTCAGAGGTCGTAGGTTCGATTCCTGCTCACGGCAAGTTATTTTTTCACACAATTTTCTTTCTTCTTATTTGCTTTACATTGGTTCTAATGACTTCTCCTATACATTTCTTGGCATTATTGTCTGTTAAATGTATATATATATATATATATATATATTGCGAAATTCGAACGCAACGCCCAGTGGACTATCATATAAACTCACATATTTTTAAGTTTTCATAAGCAACGGTTTTATTCACAGGGAACCAATCACGAAATATGTCTGTCAGCAGCCATTGGCCTCAAAACGAGGATATAAATTAGTAAACGTGCAAGCTTTAACAGCAAATGACAATCAAGTCTTATCTCATTCAGAGCGGACTACGCAGTGAGCTACGACAATCAGCTTAACAACTTGATAATGAGAGGCAAATTGGTTTGTGATGCGCAATAAAAATATTAGAGTGAAAATAAAGATTGGCAAAACAGAGAGCGTTCTTGTGGTCGTGACATGGCCCTATCTTTTTTTTTTTTTTGCCCTGTTTCAATTTCTTCAACGATGTAGTTATTCTTAGTGACCTGGCGCTCTTTGGCCATGAAATGGCCCTTGCGCCACAAAACATCAAACATCATCATCGTCATTCTTAGTGACCCAATATCGCAACGCGCCCGCAGAGCGTCTTGAATTGGCGTAAACAACTCGCGATACCCCTGAAAAAATAAACGCTTGTGTTAAAGATGTATAGCCTAAATCCATCAGCCTAAATCACTAATAAAATTACCGTTGCAGTGATCGAAATTTTTTGTATAAAAAAGATTGTCATAAAATTTGAAGTATTTTGTAAACAAGAACTTTTTTTTTGCCATTGCGCCGCAGTAAAGGTGTCCGTCATATAAAAATAGCCACTCAATGTCTGCACTCACCATCACGTTGCTAAGACCCCATTCACAAGTTGGAAAGCCAACGCCCTACTGGAAAATGTGACATCTACGTTTCTTAACTGAACAAAGCAGGTTGACTAGTAGCCTACTTTGGTGAAGGTGATCTCGAAGCCTCATCCACATAAAACCGAAAAACCAACACAATGTATTCGACAAAATGTTTGTTATTTTGTTCGGTTGCGAAGGAAAGGCGAAGACACAGTGAAAATAAACAAGGAAATAGTTACTTCGTGCCATTTTAAATGCACTGTTACAAGAGTATCTAAATACTCTGCCAACGAATGTGCTTATTCCAACGGATGCACCGCAATCTAAGGATGAATCAGCCATATAAATATTTTGCCCTAAACTAGAGTGGTCCTTTTTTATTACGACTGCTTGATTTTATTACTGCTTTTATGGCTGAATTTATGGCCATAATAATAGATTTACGAAAGTTGAGTATTTTAATTATAGTAGTTGCCATTATCACTGACTAATTATCTGAGTGCTTTTCGATCTCTTCCGCAACTGGTGAAAAGCCTATGCTAAATAAAGGTATTTTAAAGTACTAGTTCTTACTCACCTTCAGCGTATTCATTTAATTTGGGTACCACGCTACAAAGCTTTGTTGTTTAAACAAAAGGGCTGATTCTTTAGCAAAGGCAGCGAATTCGGCACCGATCATTCCAATTTCGCCATTCACCGCATACATCACAATTGCAGGATTTCACTCACTAGCATTCATAAGAAGCATATGAAACGGTTTATTGGCACCTTTCCCAGAATATAAACACGTTCTATTTTTGGGTGCAGTTATTTATTGAGGTCGAGAATAGTGGAAGTGGCTATAACAGAAATTTGCTACCGTGTTACATTCCTCAATGTTTACCTGCATAGAGCAAATTTAGAGCTTATCCCCCTGTGCTTCTTTTGTAATGAGGAGAAAACCACTAAACGCTACTTTGCATCATGTCGCCATTTCACCTAATTCAGGATAAGATCCATAATTCTACCTCCTAGAAATCGGGGTCTGGAAGTATCAGAACCAGTTATTCTTTCTATTGGCACCTCTACTCTGGGCTACACTCACAGGGATGTTTTCTTCCCCATGGAGGAATTCATGAATCAGTCTAATCTTGTGGAATTCTCCATCTTTTAAATATTTCCTTCCAATAATTCGTACTTTGTTATATTAGTTCATTCTAGCATATACGAGTAACAAACTGAAGAAAATATTGAAAAATTCACCTAGTACTCAGCCATTTTCCAGCATTAGGTATGAGCCATGAGATAAGGAGAAAAAGAAGAACATGCTGACTATCCAATCACTTAAGGTGGGTAAGAGCCAAATTACAAGAGCCAAGCAAGCAAGCAGCCTTACCTAAAGGCGAACAACGCCTGCTAAATGCACAAAAGAAATGGAAAAAAATGTCCACGCATTTTCACGAAGTCAATCATGACGAGAGGGCGAAGCGAGGATTTAAGGTCCAGTGTCTACATTGAAGCCACCGACTACGTGGAGGGTTTGTGCTTGCAAGTGTTTTATATTGTTCGGTCCTAATTATGATTGATGTTAGTCTATTGTTAAACCTTTTTTGTGCCTCACATATGTCTCGACTGTAGCTGTGCGCACGGATACCAAACGGATAGGCAAGCCTCGCCCCTGAAGCGCTTCGCCCCTAAAAGTCCGGACAGTTTGCACTAAGTTACGCAATGCCAGGCACAATGAAGCACGGACCCGTCGCCGCTCGCACTCCTCGTCTAATGACACGTAAATTCAATATGCACGACTTGCTCCTCGGGAGCATAGAGTTTTCTAAAATTAACAATCACTGGCGCTGTGATTGTTAAGCGACAATGGGAGTTAAGGGTACTACATCGATTTGCCTTGTCTTCGGGCTTGCGACTGGCGACCCACACTTGTGGCTTTGTTTCTTGCTTTGTTTTGGTTTTGTATCGAATGAAAGAACACATTTTTTCAAACTATGCAACGCGATGTTAAATGGTAAGCCAAAAAATATTAAGGTGGTGAAGTGTAAATGCCGAACATTTGCCGATTGTTGTTTCGTGACAAAGCAGCTTCAAGCCAGCCGAAGCCAGAACAAATGTAAAGCACGAAAACTAGGCAAATCCATGTCATACCCGTAATTCCCATGTCCGCTGAAGCGCCAGGCGTTGCAGCTCCCATAGACACGTGCGCCAGAGTTCCCTCTAGTGTATATTTAGGAAACTGTATGCTCGGAAGTATGCACTTTCTAAGGATGCACCATGAGACTCTGGACACGATCGGGTGCAGCCAGGCTTTGCCCTATATAGAGCGGAGGTTGCGCGCGAAGACTCCACCGATGAGCATATCTTGGCTACTGCGCATGCGTGGCTTCACCAGGTGGTGCGATATCTGGTCGCTAGACGACGCTTCCTCTTTATTATTCCTGGTCGCTTCCTTTTTATTATTTTTTTTGTCGCTGTTTATTTATTTCTCTCTCTTTCGGCGATGTTCTCTGTGTTTCTCTTTATCTTTCTGCATTAATTTTCCTCTATTTTTATCTTTCTCATTTCTTCTGTGGTACGCTTTACTAGCTCCCCTCTTCGTATCCCTACTCCTCAACCTCGTTTCCGTTTTTCGCCCCCTCGATATGCCATGCTGTGATCTCCCAGCGTGCCTAGATAGCCGAGGGGTTAGGACGCTCACCTGGTTCGAGGGCACGCGAGTTTGAACCCCGCCCCGTAAATGTCTTATCGGCCACAATCGTCTCACTTTTTTTTCTCTCTCTCTCAGCCCTCATTTTCTTCCCTATCAACGTTATTACAGGCCATGCCCTAGCAGTGAGTAGTGGGATTTGAATGGATTCTGTGCCGCATTAAAAAAAACGACACAGTTTACATTGAGCTCAAACTCTTCATTATTCCAGTAAAATTCAGGTTTTTTGGATGTTGCGAGAACAACCCTCCACACCGGTGCCTGAGACGCACCACTCGTGGTGCTATAACAAAGTCAGAAGTAACGTACTGCCGTTGTGCCAATAGCGGCATTACGGACTTGCTGGTCGCTTGCAGAGGAAGTAAACGTTGTAGAAGTTCTAGTAAAGCAGAAAAAACTTATATTTGCAGACTGCACAAAATATATCTAATAGTTACGGACATACGAGCTACAAAAAAGAAGGCACTTTTGAAATGAACCGTCTGTAGGGCGACCCTACAGGATTCGGCAGAGCCGATTGTGCCTAACGCCTTAAGACTAGTTCAGAACGCTTCCTGAAACACCGGGCCACCCTTTATTCTCTTGATGCTCCGCTCTTATACAACTCTCGGCGAATCGTCCCCTGTTTGTACTCTGAGAGGACAGTACACTTGGTCAATCAAAAACCCACCACAAGGACGCCACCTTCATGCACGTGTGAGGGCTGATGCCTTCGCCCCAGCTAACACAACAGCTAAAATCTTTAAAAAAACAGAGTTGATCAAAAGTCATAGAGTCAAGGGCAAGGTCTGCTGACGCGCAACTATCTAAACGTAAAGCGACGTGGACTGGGATTCGTGGTCATAACAAAGGCGTCCCTAGTAACCCGACAACTTATTGCCGACAGGACAGTTATACGCCTGTCCCCGGTGCGTTGTAAGTGAAATCACTGGCTCTCCACACATGGTTCTACTGACGAGCTCGTTTGAAAGAATTAGCGCACAAATAGCCGAAGGCATGCCAGGGCAACAGCTTTCATCAAAGGCGCCAACCGGGCACCCGTTTACTGCGACGTCGGCAACGCTTTAACGTGTCGCACACCCGCCTGCTTCGGAGAGCTACCAGAAGCAAGCCGGACCATGACGAAAGGTCGACGGCGATTCCAAAATATCGCAACCCACGCCGCCGAGGCAAGGCGGCGTGCGCGATCAGCGGCGTGCGTTATCAGCGGTGTGCACGATCAGCACACGGTTGGGCCGTAGCAGGATGAGAAAAACTTTATTTTAACAAAGGAGTTTGAGTTTAGAGCACGCAGGCTCCTGGGCCCCCGCACGATCCCGCTGCGCTCAAGCGTTCATTTGGTGGTGCTCTATGACGCCGGCAGCCCGGTCGGCAGCCATTGTCTGCCACACCGGGTCCTCTGAACGCAGTAGGGTCTCCCAGTCATTCTG